TGAGCGCGGTGCGGCCAGTCTCAAAAAGGAAAAAAAAAAAAAAAAAGAAATAGTTATTCCACAAAGTGTGTGTTCTGGTTTTTTATATTTTTTATGTTCTAATCTGGAGCCATTTCCCTTGGCTAGTTTTTGTTTACTAGGTTGAGCTATCAATGGCACTAGAGGTATATAGTTTATGGCACCAGTTGTCAGTGTTATTAAATATATTTATAAATATTATTTGATGAATATATATTTTCAGTTTTCATATTGGCCATTTAAGTTTTATTTCTTGAATTATTCTTTAATCATGCATTTTTCTGACAAAAATTCTGCATGGCAGGTACTAGGCACTCAACAAAGAATTATCAAATGAGTGAATGAATTTATAGTGATTGTTGTTGCTGATCCTTTCTTATGCATAATTTTTCTTCTTTAATTCTGATTTACTATACCACTTACTCATTTTTGAAAATGTAAAATAATTTTTTTCAGGTCTCTTTGTATTTCTCAACACTTCAGAGAGTGTCTTGTTTCCCAGTGAAAATAATGTTGTATAAGTTTTACTGAGGTTGAAGGAAGTTCTGTAATTGTACAAAATCCTTATCACATTATTGTGGTTATTGAAGGAGGACCTTTATCCTCTTGGACCTTGTTAAAAACTCCACAGAGAAATGATAAGTATTCAGTTGTGTGAGCCTCTAATATATGTTTTTTAGAGTAGATGCAGTATATTCTCGGCTGAATGCATAAGATGCAAAGGAGGAAGAGCAGGGAGAAACTTAACATCATTTCTCTAAAATTTACCAGAAAATAAATAAATAAATAAATAAATAAATGATAAAAAATTTACCACGGCCTTCTCTGGAGATGAAAACAAGATTTGTTAATGGTGATACCCACCTCAAATTCCTCAACAACTAGAACATCTCCTAAGATTTGCTTTATCATTTTCTTTTAGGTGATTTATTGTTCATTTGGTGGAACGTCCAAAGGGCTACACTTCAATAACTTAATAGTTGGACTTGTCCTTCTTACAAGAGGCAGAGATGAAGAGAAAGCAAGATGTGAGTACTTTTGTTATCTCAAAATGATAATACCATGTTTGTGTGTAGCATAATTTCCCTCAAAATTTTGATGACAGGCAAAGGATTAGAATTGGCATCTCTCTAAAGATATGCAAATAGCCAATAAGAACTTGAAAAAAATGCTCAACATAATTAGGCATTAAAGAAGTGTAAATTAAAACTAGTTCATATCCACTAGAGTGGCTAAAATAGAAAAGATAATAAGTGTTGACGAAGATGTGGAAAAATTATAACCTTCACACATAGCTAGCTGGTGGGAATAAAAATAGTGCAACCATTTTGGAAACCAGTTTGGCAGTTCCTCAAGCTGTTAAACATTGAGATACCATATGACCCAGCAATTCCACTCCTAAGTATATAACTGAGAAAATTTAATACATATATTCACAAACAACCCATGTTCACAACTGTATTAGTCCGTTTGTGTTGCTATAACAGAAATACCTGAGACTGGGTAATTTGCAAAGAACAGAGGTTTTTTCGGCTTGTGATTCTGGGACAGCTGCGTCTGGCACAGGCCTCAGGCTGCTTCTACTCATGGTGGAAAGTGGCAGGCAGCTGGCGGGTACAAGCAGATCACATGGCAAGAGGAAACGAGAGAGAATGGAGGTGCCAGGGTCTTTTAAACAACAGCTCTCACGGGAACTAATAGTTGAGATCTCACTCAGGACCCTCACTCCCCAGGGAGAGCATTAATCCATTCATGAGGGACCTGCCCCCATGACTCAAACAGCTTCCAGTATTGCCACATTGGGGATCAGATTTCCACATGAGTTTTGGCAGGGACAGCATATCCGAATTCTGTCAGTCACTAAGTGGAAACAATTCTAATGTCCATCAACAGATGAATGGATAAATAAATGGTGTTATATTCATATAATGGAATATTACTCTATAATAAGAAGGAATAGAGTAACTGATTCATGCTACAACATGGATGAACCTGAAAACATTTTGCTGAGTAATAGATTCTAGTCATAATAGGCCACATATTATATGATTCCATTTATGTGAAATTTCCAAATTAGGCAAATTCATGGTGGCAGAAAGTAGTAGATTAGTGGTTGCCAGGAGCTCAGGGAGAGGGAAATGGAAAGTGACTGTTCATGGGATAGGGTTTTTTGGGGAGGTTGATGAAAATGTTCTGGAATTAGATAGTGGTGATGGTTTCACAACCTTGTGAATATACTAAAATCAAGGAATTGTACACTTTAAAAGGGTAACTTTTATGGGATGTTAATTATAGCTCAATAAAGCTGTTATTTAAAAGTCTGATGACAGACTTAGTAGTCTATTCGTTTCTTCACAAAGAAAACCAAAAGTTTACATACTTGATAATGTTGTATACAAATTCTTGGTAAAAGGCTTAATTCTTTTAATGTTTTACTTTTAATTTCAGAAATTAATTTTATTAGGTGAATTATCTCAGCTTAGAAGAGGTTGGCACCTCATCCATTACCTTTCAATCTTACTAAGCATGGAAGTGCTATAATGAGAAGGCATCATTTACCCTTCTAAACATGAGAGGGAAGATAATCTTAGTTGATCAGTGTCCACCTGTGTTTCTTAGTATATGGATTTATTTACTTATTTTTTATTCATTCATTTAATTGTTTATAATGTTTTTTGTCCCCTCATTCTTTTCTTTGAGCTCCCCAAAGACAAATCTGCTCTTACCAAAAGCATTAGTAAGCACTGTTAATTTAATTGAAGGTTTCCCAGGAGAAGCATTGGCAGCCATTTATATCCACGGAATGCAAAATTTTGCTTCAAAAATTCTGAGATTTTTATTCTTGGTCACTGGATGCTGGGTTTCACTCTCTTCCTCCTTCCTTTTCTAGTCTGCATGCTATGGTCTGAATGTTTGTGTTCCCCCAAAATTCATGTGTTGAAATCCTAACTCCCAATGTGATTTTAGGAGGTGTTGCATTTGGAGGGTGATTAGGTCATGATGGCTAATACTAAATGCTTCATGAATAGGATTAAATACGCTTATGAAAGAGGCCTTAGAGAGACCCCTCGCCACTTCTGCCATATAAGGATACAATGATAGCCATCTATGAACCAGGAAGTGGGCCTTTACTGGACACCAAATTTGCTTGCTCCTTGATCTTAGACTTCTTTTTTTTTTTTCCTTTTTGTCTTTTTTACTGACCGGTAACAGGATCGCAACCCTAGGTGTCGCGCCCGCACCACGCTCAACCAGTGAGCGGGAACCGGTCTCCACATGGGATCCGAACCCTCGGCGGGAGCGCTGCCGCGCTACCAGGCGGCGCACTCTCCAGTGTGCCACCGGGCCGGCCCGATCTTAGACTTCTGAGCCTTCCAGAACTATGATAAGCCACCCAGTTTATAGTATTTTGTTGCAGTAGTTAAGCAGACTAAGATACTGCCTTTGGACTGCTTCTTCTAAATCTCTCAGAATCTTCTCTCTTGCTCCTGAATCTATTCTGTTCTTCTTTTTTTTTTTATTTTTTATTTTTTATTTTTTTGTGTGTGTGTGTCTTTTTCCGTGTCCGGCATCGGATCGCAACCCTCAGTGTCGCCCCCGTACCAGACCAGGACCGGCAACGGGATCGCAACCCTCGGCGCTGCTCCCATGCCTCGCTCAGCCAGTGAGCGGGAACCGGTCTGCATGTGGGATCCGAACCCTCGGGCGGGAGCGCCGCTGCGCTTCCCAAGCAGCACACTATCCAGTGCGCCACCGGGCCGGCCCTATTCTGTTCTTCTTAATCCTTTTTTTTTTTTTTTTTTTTGACAGCTGACTGGTAAGGGCATTGGAACCCTTGACCTTGGAGTTATCAGCACAGTGCTTCTTGTCAAGTGAGCTAACTAGCTCACTTAATCATTTTTTTTTCTTAAATTTTTTTTTTAAAAACCAGTCTTATTGAAGTATAATTGATATACAATAAAATACATGTATATAAAGTATACATTTTGATATGTTTTGACATATGTATTTACCCACTAAACCATTAACATAATCAAAATAATTAACATATTTCCATAAACCCTATTTTATCTATTGGAATATAAGTGTCATCCTGGTTTTTCCAAATTAGCATCCCTCCACCAAAACACACATAAACTGGCTCCAGGCAGCAGTAACTGAAAATAACAATTTTCTGGGTCACAAACACAAACATATTTTTTAAGTTTCTTTATTTTGACTGTACGATTGTCTTAGTTTCCTACGGCTGCCATACATAACAAAGCACCACAAACTGGGTGGCTTAAAACAACAGATACTTATTATCTCACAGTTCTGAAGGCTAGCAGTCCAAAATCAGTGTCAGCAGAGTCATGCTTCCTGTAAAACCTATTGGGGAAAATTCTTCTTCCTCACTTCTGCTAATGGCCATCAATCCTTGACCTTCCTTGACTTTCACCTGCATCTTTCCAATCTCTGCCTCTCTCATCACATGGCTTTCTTCCCTTTGTGTCTGTTTTCTCTTCTTATAAGGACATATTAGATTGGGTCTCACCCTAATGAACTCATCTTAACATTATATCTGCAAAGACCCTATTTCCAAATAAGCTAACATTCACAGGTACTATCTATTGGGGGATACAGTTCAACTCATAACAACAGTATTTCAGACATATGTATACTATGTACTTCCATCCAGCTTTATTATTTCTTAATGTTGTGTTGTGTTTGTCCCAGCTCTTGATTTTTAAAAAGTAGTATAACTAAGGTAAGGCTGTCTTTGTATCCCTTTATGATCCCATTCCTATTTTTCCCTTCATAGTGGTTACCACTCTCATGAATTTGGTGATCTTTCATTCCTCATGCAGGTTTATACATTTCAGAACATGTTTATATATCCTTAAATATATCTCCAACTATTTTGCTGGTTTTAAACTTTTTAATAAATAGTATTCCATACAGATTACTTTGTAATTTGCTTTTTTCCAAATGTTATGTTTTTAGACATTTATCTATCTTGAAACATAGTTCATTTATTTTAATTGGGACATAATCCCATCGTAAGTGTAGGAGCATCTGTATAGTATTTCGTGTGTGTGTGTGTGTGTGTGTATCTCATTTACCTGTTGTTGACAGACATTTATCTTTTTTCTAATTTTTGCTCTTGCAAACAATCTTCCAGTGAACATCTAGTATCTTGTACACAGGTATAAGAGTATTTCTGGCTTGCATCTTCGACTTTACTAGATTTTGGCAAATTACTCTCCATAGTGGTTGCAGTAATTAATACTTCCATTATCAATGTATATGAGGTCCTATTTTCTCTCAGTCTTTGCTAACACATGGTATTGTCACACCTAAGTATTTTTGCAAATTTGGTATGTTTGAAATGATATCACATTGCTGTTTTTTAATTTATGTTGCTGGGTTATTCTGAGGAATAAATTAAATTATATTTATGAAGTTCTCGGCCCTAGTAATCACTCAGTTGTTGGTACCTTTTTCTTCTCTCCCTACTTCTACTAAGGTATATTTGACCTATGTTGAGATTAATTTATCCTATTTTCTTTCTCCTTAGACATTTTTAGTCTTTTTTCAAATGAATCTGGGAGTTATGTTGTACGAGAAGAAATGGAAAGAATGCTCCATGTGGTGGATGGTAAAGTCCCAGATACACTCAGGAAGTGTTTCTCAGAGGTATATTTAAAGATTCACATTTCATCCCTTTCTGTCGACAAAGTATTAACTCTTAGTTGTGTAATAAGTTCAGCTATGATGAATAGATGTTTATGTGCAGAATATTCTTGACATTTTGTATTTAATGATTGATCTTTCAACTATGTGCTATACTCAAAGGTCCATGACTCTCATTACTGCTATATTTGTGAATGTGAAAATTTCCAATTCTGCTGTAAAGATGACTTAATACTTATACTATAATAAAACACAGACCTACAGTCTCACACCAACACACATCAACACACGTGCACACACACGTGGTCCTGCAAGAACCTGAAACAATGCTCACGTTGTAGGGATGTATATATTGGTATGTCACTTGTAGGGATGAATATATTGGTATGTCACTTGTTGGCCTTGAGCTATTCTGTTATCTATTTCATTAAGGCCTATTTTATCATTTATTTTACTTAGTTGATTTGTACAGTGAAATATTTGGGTTAAAAAATTGTTACTTTTGTCTGTTTTAAAAAATAATATATTTTCATCTTATCTTTAGCATTAGAAACAATAGAAAACAATAGAAACAAACAATAGAAAATATGTATCTTTAACAGAGAAAATTCTCTTATTTTTCTTTTCAGAGTTCTACTAATATGTGAAAAGTCCCTAGAGATGGTAGAGTAAAATCTCCTTTAGAAGTTTCTGATCCTGGGCCGACCCCATGGCGCACTCGGGAGAGTGCTGCGCTGGGAGCGCAGCGACGCTCCCGCCTCGGGTTTGGATCCTATATAGGAATGGCTGGTGCGCTCATTGGCTGAGCGCGGTGTGGGCGACACCACACCAAGGGTTGCGATCCCCTTACCAGTCACGAAAAAGACAAAAAAAAAAAAAAAAGAAGTTTCTGATCCTGTCATGCAGCACTTATTGCTGCCCAGTTTCTTTTGGGTGTCTGTCTGACCCTCTTTCATTTCACCAGTGTGACAGTCCTTCACTGCTGTTGGTTTTATTCAGGGAGTTTAGCTATACCTTCCTGACTATATAGGCATTGATTGTTGATGGTCAGTATGTATATGTATGCTTCTAATATCTCTGTGGTCTATCTTTAGCTTCTTACCATTCTGGCTTTAAGTTTCTTTTGTGTTGATAGCACCTGATGATTTCCCTGTCTTGCTCTTGAACTTGATTGTGCATGGTGGTAGTTATGGTGTTTGTTACATTTTATGCAGCATTTTTGTTTGTTTGTTTGTTTGTTTTCCTTTTTGTCTTTTTTACTGACCGGTAACGGGATCGCAACTCTCGGTGTCGCGCCCGTACCGGGGACCGGCAATGGGACCGCAACCCTCGGTGTTGCGCCCGCACTGCGCTCAGCCAGTGAGCGGGAACCGGTCTCCACATGGGATCCGAACCCTCGGCGGGAGCGCCACTGTACTCCCAAGCAGCGCACTCTCCAGTGCGCCACCGGGCCGGCCCTTATGCAGCATTTTTATGTGTGGGGTGCAAAAGGATGGGCTTTCTGCATGTTTGGTTCTGACATTTTGACTGGAAATTGCTGTGATAGTATTTCAGTACTTTAAGACAAACTGGACTATGGATTGTTTGTTTTTTCTTATAATACAAATTTGCTGGTCAATGACACAGGGACCTGGGGAAAAATAAAAAAAATACATTAATAAAAAAATTTGCTGGTCAGAGAAAAAAGTAATCTAATCTTTGCAAACCTGATTAATTGGATTTTTTTCACAGAGATGTCAAATGCATTAATACCCTTTACTCTTTTTCAGGGAGAATGTATATTTTTTCCTTTACATAAGGTTTGTGTAGATACTCCCATTCTGTAGATGGGAACTAAATGTGGTTGGCCACCCAGTTCTCTAAAATTCAGGCACAATAACAGGCACATGTATTAGGTGATAGTGCTATAGGGAAAAATAAAGTAGAATAAAGGGAACAGGTGGCGATAGGGAGCAGGCAGCTGAGTGTTGCTATTTTATATAGGATGGTTAGGAAAGATCTGTCAGAAAAAGTGCATTTTGAGCAAAATATTTACAGCAAGAGAGAGAGAAAACCATGAAGATATCTGGGGGAACCACCTTCCATGAAGAGAATACAGCAAAGGTCCTGAGGTGGGAGTGTGCTTAGAATGTCCTAACAACAGTAAAAAGGCCAATTTAGTTGGAGTGGAATGAGCAAGGAATAGAAGGAAATGAAGTTACAGGGGTTATTGGGGAGTGGGAGGTGGATTATATATGACCCTATAGGACAATACAATGTGAGTTCTTTGACTTTTACCCGGAGTGAGATGGAAACCATTAGAGGGTTTGAGCAGAGGAATAACATAATATAAGGTGTTTTTGTTTTTAAAGATGATCACTTTGAATCTTAGTAGAAAGTGAGCTGAACAGAATCCAATTTAGGTGTCTGAATCATCCAGGTAATAGGTGATATTCATTTAGATCATGGAGTAGCAGTGAGGTTTTTAGATTCTGCATTTATTTTGAAGGTGTTTTGACAGAATCTTTTCTTGTTTTGATTATGGGCTGTGACAGAAAGAATAGGTGAAGGATGAGTAATGTGTTTGGCCTGATTTAGTAAAGTAATGGAGTTGCCATTAACTGAGATTGTTAACTGGAGAAGGACATTTGAGGGTGGGATATCAAGAGAGATTTAATTAAATTTGAGGATCCTAGTAGACATTCAAGTGGAGTTGTCAACTGTGCTTTTAGACATATTAGTCTGTTGTTCATGGGAAAGAACTTGTTGGCTTATAGGTAAGAATGAGATCATCTAGGAGCAAGTTTAGAAAATAGATTGGAAGAATGGGTCCTGTACTCCAATGTTTAGAGATTGGCAAGATAAAGAGGAATCAAGGCAGGAGAATAAGGAATGGCCTGTGAGGTAAGAGGATTACCAAGAGTAGTGTCCTGGAAGCCAAGTGATGAGTGTTTCAAGAAGGAAGGAAATCTCAGCTATGTCAAATACACTGAAAGGTCAAGTGAGTTGAACCTTGATCACTGAAAAGTGATCATTAGATTTGGCAATGTGGAGGTAGGTCATTGGTGTAGGTCCTGTTGTGTTCAAAAATCACTAGAGTCATGATGCTAGAATGCTTAAAATTGCAATTATGGGAAATAGAAGACTTATTATAATAAAAAGATCAGAAGACTATTATAGTAAATGCCTGGGTTGGTGTTATTTTTAATGACAAGATCTTTGGAAGAGAAAAGAAATGCAAAGCTAAGTTTTGGAAGCCTCAGGTATTTGAATTATTAGATACCTATGGTTGCTAAAAAACCAACACTGTAAATAGGCTGATGTTATCTGATTCAACTATTTGATGTATTTACATGCTCTAATTTCTGAGTAAGGTGTCTGGTGACTGCACCCAGGCCCTTGCTATCCAAGTTGCCATATTTTAATACCACTTTATTTATACTTGAATAGGTTTATTCAGACCTTCCCTAACAATGCTTTATGTTATTTTTCCATCCTTAAGGAAAAAAAAAAAGCTATAAAAAGAGAAGCACTTTAGGTAAAAGGGTGAACCTAGGACCTAGAGTTAAGTGACATGGGTCTCAGCTTTTTCTATCTTATGCTTTATTATTAGTCTTGACACATGAAACTCAGCATAGAGTGGTATTAAGTTTTTTTCTTGCTGAATTTTTTTTTGGGGGGGTTGTTTATTTATAAAGTAGAAATCTGTATTTTATTCTGTTCTTCAAAGATGTATCAGTTTCAGGAGTCTGTTTATTTTTAATTGCCTTTTCTGGTGTTGACAATATTTTTTCTTAGATAACTTATAAAAGAAGACTTTCCCTTTACTTCCTTTTTTAGAAGAGATTCATGACACAAAAATATAAAAAACCAGATTTGACAGATGGAAATTTGGTGCTACCAATTATGTAGAGTGATTCCCAAAGCACAGGTGGACTTCAGAGATTACTTTATATTTCACTAAGACAGGCACTCAGAGTATGGTATATAGCTAAAGCACGGGGACTTTGGAGGCTGTACTACCTGGGTTTAATCCTTTCTATGCCACCGTATAACCTTGGGCAAATTACTTACTCTTTTGGTGACTTGGTTTTCCCTTGTGTAAAATGGGAAAAACAGTAGTGTCCCTATAGAGGGTCCTTTGAAGATTAAATTAATATGTAAAATATTTAGAACAGTGCTTAGAACATTGTAAACACTCAGATATTAGCTATTTGTGAGGGTGGTAGAAGTGCTTATTATAAATTGGCAGCTTTTTTTCTTTCTTAGTGGTGTGTAAAGGTGCATCTTATAATTGATGACATCTTAGACTCACTGAAACCTTTGAAAGTAACATATTTCACTGAATCTAAGATGCCATTGGTCTTAAGAAGCACCTTTATATACCACTCTGAAAAGAGAACAAACTTCTTTTTCTACTCTTCTCTTTGAACACTGATCACTTCTGTGACCTCTGGTCACCAAAATGTGAGTGGGATTTCTCCTCACTAGCAACCAGTTCTCTGGCAGATTCTTTAGCAGACATGATTGGTGTCCTCCAGTTAGTTCAGTTCTGACACTGTCTACCTGGAGATGGTGTCAGATCCCACAGATTGAGGACTCAGTCCCAGAAGACTGCCCCCCACTTCATAATCCACTCACAAGTAATAGGTTGTCACCTGCACTTCTGACCTGCTATAAATTGAAGTTCCCACAACCCTGTCCTTGGGTTTGATTAATTTGCTAGGATGGCTCACAGAAGTCAGGGAAACACATTTACTGGTTTATTATAAAGGATGTTACAGAGGATACATATGAAAAGCCAGATGGAGTAGATGCATAGGGCAAGGTATGTAGAAAGGGACATGGAGATTTTATGCCCCCTCCGGGTACACCACTCTCAAGGAACCTCCATGTGTTCAGCTATTCGGAAGATGTCCGAACCCAGTCCTTTTGGGTGTTTATGGAAGCTTCATTACATAGTCATGATTGATTAAATCATTGACCATTGGTGATCGACTCAGCCTTCAGCTCATCCCTCTTCCCTCCGGGGAGGTCTGGGAGTGGGACTGAAAATCCCAACCTTCCATTCCAGGGTCTTTCTGGTGTTCACCCCCCATCCTGAGGCAATCCAGGATCCACCAGCCTTCAGTCAACTCATTAGCATACAAAGAAACACTTATCACTTTGGAGATTCAAAGATTTTAGGAGTTGTATGCCTGCAAACCAGAAGATAAATATATATTTCACAATATCACAACCACTAAGAAAAAGCCACCAATTATTATTTTTTTTCCTTTTTGTCTTTTTTACTGACCGGTAACGGGATCGCAACCCTCGGTGTTGCGCCCGCACCACGCTCAGCCAGTGAGCGGGTACCGGTCTCCACATGGGATCCGAACCCTCAGCGGGAGCACTCTCCAGTGTGCCACCGGGCTGGCCCAAAAGCCACCAATTATAATTAAAGGATGCTGTTGATTTTAGGACTTATCCAATGTCAGAGATATTAACATGGGTAAAAACTTGCATCATGGTGAAATTTCTACTGCTAAGTCTCTTTCTAGACTAAATGTGGGGTAGAGAAAGAATGTGGGTAGGATCCTTAATCTCTAAACATGTTAGTAATGTCCTCATGACGTGTCTGTCCCTGCAACAAGTTTTAGTGCCATATTCTTTTATTCGGAAAAACAAGGCTGTCAGGGTCCTCTTGATTGTTTAGATTGCACTGATGTTAAACGATCTGAAATTACTAGGCTAAGCATATCGCTGTACATAATAGGATGCCACTAACTAATGGAGAAATTTTTTCTACCATATTTCTTTTAAGTTATTGTATCCTTTAATGTCTCTATTAAATCTCTATTAAGATTATAGCTGCTAGGTTCCTGAATGTCATTCTTCATTGTATTTCGTGTGAGTTGCTTCTCCTTTCTTCTCATAGAAACATCTGGCCCTCACTAAACCTAGAATCTCTTGTCTTCCAAGCAAAGGGATTGACTTGGACAGTCATGTGATGCTCTCTTTTAGCCTTGACAGTTTTTTCTCCAGAGATTTAGCAAGACAAATACTTGGAAACAAAGCAAAGAAGTAGAAATCAGTCTGCCTCTTTTTGTACTGTAGTCGACTTGTGAATACATATTTTCAGTGATGCCTTTTGGGATCCTGATTTTCCATTCTAGGGGGACTCCTGAATAGTTGTTTTTAATTTGCAAATGAAATCTAAAAGAACATTTTAATTCTGTACAAATTTAGTGAAAATATGCTAATTCAGACAGATTGAGGAGTGCTAGAGAAGAGGGATAAGGCAAATGAAAAATTGGATTTATTAAATATTGAAATAAATGCAGTTTACTGATTTCGGGATATACCTTAGCTAATAAAATATGGCTTATTATTGGCAGTGGACTGCTTTAATGAACTGATGAAATAATTTGCAAATAGCATATAGATTTTATGCAAATAGAAGTTCTGAAATACAACTATATTTTAAAAGTTTGATTTCCAATCATATACACTCTGTAGTATAATTTAGATAATGCTTTCTTTATAAATAGTTAAAGGTAAATGTCAACTAATTGCAAATTTCAGGTTGTGCAGGTTTCAAGTAAGATACCTTAAAATTTGACTAAACTCATGTTTTGTTGTTTAATTTTAGGGTGAAAAGGTAAACTATGAAAGGTTTAGAAACTGGCTTCTTCTAAACAAAGATGCTTTTACCTTCTCTCGTTGGCTACTATCTGGAGGTGTATATGTTACCCTCACTGATGATAGTGATACTCCCACATTCTACCAAACTCTGGCTGGAGTCACACATTGTAAGTAATGGCATTTCATTGTTTTCTGTTCACCTTTTAATGTAATTGCCTGGTAATATGGGAATATGCTTATAAAGAGAAATTTTTTGTCAGTGTTTTATTCTTCCAAACTATAATAAAATGAAATGCTGGAGGGTGGAAAACATAGCCCTGTGTGAATTTTCCTTAGCCAAGTTATATTGGTTTCCTAGAGCTGCTGTAACAAATTAACCACAATTCATAAACTGAAATAAAAGAAATTTACTCTCTCACATTTCCAGCAACTGAAATCAAACTGAATGGGGCTGTGTTCTCTCTGAAATCCCTGGGGAAGAGTCCTTCCTTGCCTCTTGCAGTTTTTGGTGACCTCAAGCATCCTGGGTTTGTGGCAGCATAACTCCATTTTGTGTCTCTGTCTTTGTGTGGCTTTCTCTGTGTATCTGTGTCCTTTTCTCTTATAAGGACACCAGTCATTGGATTTAGGGCCTACCCTAAATCCAGAATAATTTCACCTCAATATCCTCAACTCATTACATTTGCAAAGACCCTATTTCCAAATAAGGCCACATTCCAAGGTTCCAGGTAATCACGAATTTTGCAGAGATACTATTCAATCCACTGTACAGGCCTGAGTGTTAACATCTACTGTTCTTCTTTCTGGTAGTTAGAAAAAACTACCTACACTTTGCTATTGCTTATGCTACTTCTTAACACTGCAATGCCTTTCCTTTTGCTTCTACCTATTAAATCCTAGTCATCCTTGAAGACTTAACTCACATATCCCCCCCCTTTTTTCATGAAACCTTGCCTTCCTATCAAAAATCATCTCTCCTTCCTTTGAACTCTCATAACACCTTATTTGTAATCTTCTTCAGTGAATTAATCACTTTCATCCTTGTATTATAATTATTTTAGCATTCTGTTTATTTGTGCATGTCATCTCTCCTAAATCCTAGGATCCTTTTAGACAGAGTTAATATTATTATTCTTTTCTTCTCTTCCTTTGCCAAGCCTGAAATAAATATTTGTTGACTGAATAGAGGACCTTAGGTGTCAAGTGCTATTTGTATCTATTGCTTTATATGACTTATAACTTGGCTACTAATTACACACCAGCTACTTTCTCTTATTTTCAATTCGTTTGTTACCAGAAGTTCTGACTAATAAGTTCTGGCATGAGTAGGTAGTGAACTTGAATCTGCTACTTTTCAGTGCCCTTGTCTTTAATATAGATAGGAAAATCTTTAAAAAAAAATTATTTTTCATATAGAAAAAATTTACATTCACTGTAAGGTTATCTAATTTACCTTAATATTTAAGTTTTCAGTCATATGGATATTCTGTTGAACTTTTACTTTCACTTATGATTGTATGATGAAGTATTTTTTTTTAATATTGGCCAAGAGTGTAACTGCTTTACTTGAATACCTTGTTGTGTTGAAGAAAAAATTATCCTGGCCCTTGTTAAAACTGTAAGGAAGACATTATTCAAGAGTACTGTAATAAGAGTATTGCAGCAGGGGAGAGAGATCAGGCTGAACTTTAAATACAAGGACAAAATGGGGATTTATAGCCAAGGAGAAGGGTGAATTGGTCAGTGGATGGAAAAACTTCCTGATGGATGTTGGACATGACTGCTGCCATTGTGCACACAGTAAGCACAAAATAGCCACCAGCCTTGTCTTCCACTCCAGCACCAAACCCCTCCCCTCTTCCCTTTAGGTGAAGCCTTGTGACTTCTGCAAAACAGAAACCCTTTTGCTTTCATAAGGGTGCAGTTCTCCACCCTGGTTGCATAGCTTCAGCATTAGCATAATGCCCCTCCTTGACAGTATCAACCGGCCCTTGGTGCCCTATATAAGCTCTCTCACCACCCCATCTGGTGCTGTCCTTCATTTTGAGGGCAGCCCTGGGCTGTCCACCACATTGAGCGCAGCCCGGCAGATTTTCTTTTCCTTTTTTTTTTTGTTTTTTTGTTGGTTTGTT